GGGACTGGAATATCCTTTTACATTTCTTCCGAGCATAGGTGGTTATGTTGCAGCATGGCATCAGTCAACCCACCAGTCCCGTTTCTCAAGCAATAGCAGACGGCACATGTATAACGCCCAACGGTTACCGAGGTAGTTTGACTGGAAAGGGGCTTTAACAGGTTCAACTAGGTCATCGCAGGAATCCTTTCTTTGTTAATCGCTCTCTGTGGCCAGAATTCATTGAAAGAATATCTGAACATGTTCAAACGCTACAACGGATTCGAAGCACCCGATGGCCAATGGTGACCATAACCAGGACTGCTGGTGTCATTGAAATCACCCAACGTCGACACTGCATCCACCTTTCGTGTACCCCCCCCCTTCTCTCAAACTGCCTATACTGCGAATAAGACGTACTGCTGAATACGCTGCAGCTTCATGAATGCATTGTATGCTGACATTGAGTGATTGATATGGAATGCATGTGAGGGACTTTGCCCCCGGCTGCCTTGCGTGCAAGACAGCCGAGGGCTCGTGTTATCGTTCGAAAGCTCGCGGTCATCCCCTTTGACGAGCGTCATAATGTTCGTATGCTTCTCGTCTCCTTCTCAGGGCTACTGCATATCGAGCCCACGGCCATTTGTCGGGCAGGCGCACCTTGGCGAATGCCCAGAAGTATCGGAGTCGTGCGCAGGTGATGCATCCGTCGTCCACCAGCACGTACGCTGTCTTGCGGCGGTCGAGAGAGTGTGGGAGCAATCCTTGTCGGTGGTGGTAAGGGCAAACGACGCCTTTCTTCGGTCTTGTGCCGAGGGAGGAGAAGCAGCATCTGCAAAGTTCGACTTCGATCTTCCAATAACAGCCCCATACGCACATGATGCGCTTGCGGTGCAGGCCGAAATCGACGTCATTGATGAGAGCCGGACAGAAGAAATCAGTGGTGTAGACGTATTATAGAGCGCGGTGGCCCGGCGTTTCGCGTTGAGATCTTTAGGGTTACAGTGGTGGTCAGAGTCAAATAAATGTCAGCGATTGATTCTCCGGAATCATGACACCACGAATAAGGTTTTGTTCGGCGGTATAAAATCAGACCCAACTCCGATGCTATGCAAACAACATTTTATCCGTTTGCGCCCCTCTGCCCTCACAAGGTGCGACTGCCTATGCCACTCTTCAGCCCCTCGATGACGACTCCCCACCGGCCGCCGAGCCCCTTCTCCTTGACGGCCTCAGAGTACCTGCCCGTCGCGAGCTTGCGCATGAGCAGCGTATCCTGTGCGTTCTTCAGCCTCTTGCCATCGCCTTCGAGAAGGTAAGTTTCCAGCCACGCCTCCTCGTCCGCATCGAGCGACAGCCCGACGAGTTCAATAGCGCGGCGCGCCGTGTCATCGCCTGCTTGTGCATCAAGTACGCTCGACACGAGACGGCAGAAGAGCTGCTCGCGCACGGCAGCAGGATGAGTGCGCGAGAACGCCAGGGCCTCAGTGACGCTCGCGAGGGCGAGGGCGTTGAAAAGCAACTCGAGGGCGTCGTGCGTCTTGAGCACAGGCTGCACCGTGTGGAAGTAGGCGAGCGCGAGCGTGGGGTTGTTCCGTGCGAACGTCGTCACAATCTCGTCGGCAAAGTCTGGGGTCAGCGAGGGGTGCGTGACGTGCTCGAGGGCGCGCTGTCCGAGTTTGTCAGTTGCGGCTTGCTCGCCTCCCTTGGGGGGCCTGTCTGTTCACCATACCTCGAACTTGTGGTGGTCCAGAAGCCAGAGGCCCTTCATGAAGATCTGGTAGTTCTTCGGCACACCGGAAGCGTTCGCGAAGCGTGTTGAGAACTGCGCGCGGTTGTCGTGGCCGTCGGTGTCGAGGAGCAGGTAGTAGAAGATGGACAAGCGGTGGTGCGTTGAAATGTCGGCTTCACAGAGCGTCTTGTGTAGATTTCGCAGCGCAGTGTCATTCTTCGGAGGATAACTCTTTGCTGAGACATGTTAGAAGGGCGTCGCGACACGCTTGTCTGCATGTTCAAGTAAGTACCTTTAGACAAGCCCAGGGCGTTCAAAACGCGGTCAATGAAGAGAACACCGCCAGAGCCCTTGCGGAAAGCCTCGATCTCCTGGAGAGCCTGCTTGTTGTAGGGGTTTCCTACAGGAGACCCGAATACATCGTCAAAGTTGGTGTAGTCAAGCATGGCTGCGGCGAAAGGGAGGATGGCCAATGGCTACTGGCGATGTCGCGACAAAATCGTCTGTGGTGTTGAGGTGCAGACCAAAGCTCCCCACTCTCCATAGCTCAACCCCTTCGCGAATTCACGTGATGACGTAAAGTGGCTAGTGCCGAAGCAGTGGCTTCTTGTGGCTTGTTTGTTTACAATCGCCCGCCTAATCTGGCCGAAATCAAACAAAGGTGGGGGTAATTCAACACCACCAACACCGACTTTCACCATCAACACCGCCAATTCCCCATTTCCCGTTTTCGCGTCACTCATTTCGTCACGTCGCGATCGCTTTCATTTTCCTCGCAGACGAGATCACGGCACCAAACATCATGTCGGCAGCAGAGAGACCGCGCCGTTCGCGGCGGCAGGCTACCATTGTTGAATCCTCAGACGAAGACGAGATTGGCAACACCACCAAGGCGCAGGAGGAAGATCTCGAAGAATTCACGCCAGCGCCCGCGCGCAGCCCAACACGAAAGCCGCGGAGGAGTGTTGCTTCCACCGTATCCTCCTCCACACCCACAGCACCACGGTCACGCGGCAGGCCTAAGAAGAGCATGTCCAACGTGTCTACATCCACCATCGAGCCGAGCCAGGTATTCGACCCTGAAACAACCATTGCCGAACCAGAGCCTGAGAAGAAGACTCCCTCCCCAAGAAAACGCAAAAGCGTCGCACCCCGAGCCTCCAAGGCAAAGACGCCAGATCTTGAAGCACCCCTAGCTACGCCCAAGCCCTCAGCTTCTCCCGATGCATCAAGGCTGCATGCCATTCCGCTGGCTGATATCACAACTGCGAGCGTCAATGAGCAGCCGTCTTTCGTCGACGAAAGCCAGTCGGCAGTGAAGCCTATTCACGCCATGGACACGGTTCTTGAGAAGCCGATGGACATTGTCCTCAAGTCGCGCAACATGACGGTGCCCATCGTCGAAAACACCATTGCGAAGCCGCGCCTTGTTATCACTCACTTGGTCCTGACCAACTTCAAAAGTTACGCAGGTCGCCAGGAGGTCGGTCCCTTCCACGCGTCCTTCTCTTCAGTCGTCGGGCCCAACGGTTCCGGCAAATCCAATGTTATCGATTCACTGCTGTTCGTGTTTGGTTTCCGCGCCAGCAAAATGCGACAGGGCAAGCTTTCCGCACTCATCCACAACTCGGCGCAGTACCCTAATCTTGACCACTGCGAGGTCTCGGTTCACTTTAAGGAGGTCATTGATCAGCCCAACGGCCCGCCCCTCGATATTCCCGATTCCATTCTTACTGTGTCGCGCAAAGCGTTCAAGAACAACTCAAGTCAATACTATATCGACAACAAGTTGTCCAACTTTACGACCGTGACGACTCTTCTCCGTGACCGCGGCATCGATCTTGATCACAAGCGGTTCCTCATTCTCCAGGGCGAGGTCGAGTCGATCGCGCAGATGAAACCCAAGGCGGCCAACGAACACGACGATGGCCTCCTAGAGTATCTTGAGACATTATCGGCACTTCCAAATACAGACGCCAATCGAGAGACAGCAGCGAGTAGAGACACTCACGACATCTGCATG